GATTTCAGCGCCGTGCCATCGACGGTATATCTGGGATGGAATTCGCCATGAGGTGACAGTGCTACAGCCGTGAGCCACCTTAAGTGGCCTCGGCAAACATGAGAAACCCTCTCCTTTAAGGACGTTATATAAGGGTGACTGGAATGCATCTTACGAAGGCATTTGTCTATCTCAAGGAGGAAGCGAAACGCAAAACTTTTATTCTGGTATTAGTGCATATTGCTAGTTTATTAATGATAGCAGGTAAGTGACTTACAAGCTTGCTGAGTTCAGAATCATGTGTGACGACATATCTCCACAGGTGAGAGCTATAGCATCCTCTCGCTCCCCTCCTTCAGCGGGAATCCTCACAGTTACAGTGCAGACTGAAAGAATGTGCTCAAGATGCCGATGCGTCAAGAAATCGAAATGGTCAGACACTGACCTGGCTTCTGCATCTGACTGGTGCTGGGCGGCAATCAGTGCCACTTTCAACGGCCGGTCAAAACCTGAAGTACCTTCGCCAGACAAGGTGGTGAGATTGAGGGGGCAGAAGTGCGCATTCCGGAGATATCGGCTGACGTCTGTAGTGTAGATCGGTGTTAAGAACCTGTTCCAGTCACTAATGTGGCTATTGAGGTGGATCATCCTGTATGAGACCACAATCTCTAGGGGTCTGTCACTGCCACCGAATTTGGACTTCCAGGAGGCTTCGTCGTTCCATTTCCGGGTAACTCCATTAACGTGTATATTCACCACCACTGCAACAGCCTCAAATATGGGGCGGTCGATTTCCGCGCTTGTCAGGAAGGAGTGAGAACTAAAATGTGATGTATTTTCATCATCATTATCATCACTAGAGTCATCACTAGACTTATCACTAGAGTCCGCCTGATCCGGATCAACTGCCATTCGATGGATACAAACCCAGCCGTATCCATTCGGACCCTTGAGCATCGAGTTGACCTCTTGGGAAAACATGTATTCATCGTTGAAGTCGTATGCCATGTCCTGATCGTCGAGATCTCGAATGCACATGTTGTGGTGGAACTTGAATCCCACTTCCATGTCAGGATTGCGACTGAGATTAGTGACCAGACATTGCTGGACTACTATTCCCTCATTAGCCATCCACTGGATAGCCACCTGTACATCTTCATCGCCTTCAAATTCATACCGAGGCCACCTATTATGCACGTAACGGAATGATGGTGGCCGCTGCCAAATCCTTGCTGCAGCACGAGTCGGCTGAAAGCTGGTGAATTCGAGCCCATAGGTTAGCTCATCGAATTCACTGGTTTGAGACATGCTCTCAAGGTCTCGGGCCCTCGCTTCAATACCGCAAGGCTCAAATGTATCAGCCTGGTCGGCACTAAACATACCCGAGTGCCCAACACCGCCGAGGTGGGCACCAAATTGCATGAGATGGCCATAGGCATTGACGGTGGCCGTGGTTCCATGTCCATCGCCGAAAGACGCGTGATTGTGCACTGGTGATGATTCATCCCTTACCCACGAGCTGCAGTCCTCCGGTAGGGGTTCAAATGGGTAGGAGATGGGGTCTTCGCCCGTGCCTTTTCCGAGGACACGTCAGTTCACTAGGTTACCCGGGAAGCGGAGAAGAACCTACGGCGTATCAGAGCTTGGAAGATTTCTTCTGTCTCGGGTGGAACTTGGGCCTCATCCCAGAAACGTAGCTCAACTCCAGGCTCGGGCGACCCAAGCGCTGCTGGTGATTCTGCGTCCATACTTGCTCTGGCGGGCCACTTAATGAAGACAAGCCGCGAGCAGCGATTGCTGTCCCATTCTGCGCAGAGCAGTTATCATGCTCCGCGACACGGATAAAGGCACACGAAGCAGGGCGTCTTTGGCTGCCGAGGATGCACGCTCTCAGGCAAAGGAGGAGGTAATGAGAGAATATGAATCGGGAGCCTCATTTTCGCAGTCTACTGCCAAATTTGTTTTCAGCCCCCACGACCTGCAAGGCACCCATGGCGCGCCTCAATCACCACCAATAAGATGGGTGCGGATTACAGCTTGGCTTTACGGCGTAGCTGCCAGTGGAAATCCAGCTCGCCTAAATTCGCCATTAGAGAGTCTGACCGCGGACTGGCGAGCGATCTTTTAAATCTGATTTAAGAGAGGAATAATTAGTTATAACCGCATGTTATGAGCAGATAACAAGTCGCCCAATTAAAGTCTTTAAAGGAGTTCGCCTGGATAATCCTCCCCCTGTTCCTGAGTCAGCCTCCCGCTCCCCTTTGGTTGGATTCAATCAAGTGCCTGCCCCCTCATCTCATCGGAGACCCGCAGTGGATCTCCGATGTCGAAATCGCGGGGCAAGCCCGAATAGCAGAGCAGAGCGCCGCCGTTTTCCAATATTCGCGAATCCCGGATACCGCTCCTCGCTGCTGGCCTCTCATCCTGCGCTGGCTACGAGAGGCTCATAATCTGCTTCCCAGGGGTGCTATTCCACGAAGTAAAGTTGCATGACATTGCCAGTCTCGACAGTTCGCGATACACGCCATGGCTTCCACTGCGAGTTCCGGAGGAGCATCGCTCACCAACTACGTCTCATTCCGGGACCCAAGATCCAAGTCTAATAGTCCCCGGATTGGCCACTATGATCTCGACGCTAAGACCATCCAGCCGTTATCTTTCCTCTCGGGCACTCCCTTATCCACCTTGTATGAAGTCATCGAAGTTGGCGCAGAGAATATTGCTGCCTCTGGTGACCCCGTGCCTGCTGCATCTCTCCAGATCTTGCCGCCTATCACTGGTCGCGATATCCTCTGCGTCGGCAAGAACTATGCCGAGCACGCCAGGGAGTTCAACAGCTCTGGGTTTGACAGCTCCGATAAGGTTGACCAGCCGTCGCATCCCGTCATCTTCACCAAGCGGTACACGTCCATCATCGCTGATGGCGAAGAGATCTACCCTCATCCCGAGTTCACGCAGACTGCAGACTTTGAGGGCGAAATAGGTGTGATCATAGGGAGGTCGGGATATCATGTTTCAGAGGAGGATGCATGGGATTACGTGTGGGGCTTTACCATCATCAACGATATGACGGCCAGGGAGCGGCAACGGGACCATAAGCAGTTTTACATCGGCAAGTCGCCTGATACTTTCTGTCCCATGGTACGTGGTATATCTCATCGCTTTGTAGTCAGACAGTTCAAATGGAGATCTAACGAAATTATACAGGGTCCAATTGCTGTGCCCGTGAGCAAGGTGGGAAAGGTCTTGGGCATCCAAACATATATCAATGGCAAGCTGCGACAAAATGCTACCACTGACGACTTGATATTCTCAATTCCATTCCTCATCAAGACTCTGTCAGAGGGACAGACAATTATGCCAGGCGATGTCCTTGCTACTGGCACGGTAAGAGAACTATTCTTCCTCTCTTCAAACACAGACCATTCAAGCTAACGAATATATTTCATTCACACTATTAGCCAGCAGGTGTCGGCATTGGACTAAAACCTCCAGTATATTTGAAACCAAACGATGAAATATCCATCAAGGTAACCGGCCTGGGCACCTTGACCAACCGTTTCGGGGGCTTGGACTCAATCAACCCGGTGCCAGCACGTTCCGCAACCGCGTCGGTTCTGCAGCTGAGCAACGTCGGGAAATTACCAATTGGCAATGGTTTAATATTAATCAACGGTAAGGCAGTGAACTACAAGCGGATCGGCGCCGCGTCCGGTACGCCCATCGTCTTCGTCCACGGTCTGGGCGGCACCATCGACTTCTGGACCCCACTGATCAGCGATCTCGGGCTCGAGCGGACCAACCCTCTGCACCTCTACGACCTCGAGGGCCACAGTCAATCCCCAACGTCGCCGCTAAGCCGGCTGACCATCGACTCCCTCGCGGGCGATCTCGATGGTATCTTCCAGCACGCCGGCATCGACCGGGACGCCACCCTAGTGTCTCACGACCTGGGCTCCCTAGTCGCGGCGCGCTTCGCGCTTGCGCATCCCGCCAAGGTGGGCAAGCTGGTGCTCCTGGGCCCACCGGCCTCCCCGCTGCCTGCCTCAGAGGCCGCATTGTGGCGCTCACGCGCTCACGCCGCTCGTAGCCAGGGCATGAGCAGCGCCGTCGTCGACGCCGTGGCGACCGGCGGCGCAGGGGTCTCGGCAGCGAGCGCCGCCGCCAACCCGCTGGCGCTCACGGCGGTGCGGCTGTCGCTGCTGGGCCAGGATCCCGAGGGCTACGCCAAGGGCTGCGTTGCGCTCGCGGACACTGCGGAGGCGTCGGTGGACTGGTCGGGGCTCGGCGCACCGACGCTCCTGGTCACCGGGGCGGAGGATGGCATCTCGCCGCCACAGGGACTGCACGATTTGGCCGCTCAGCTGACAAATTCCGTCGGGGTAAAGATTTTAGAGTCAGTCGGTCATTGGCACACTTTTGAGGATGTCAGGGCGGTAGCTCAAGCCCTGCAGGGCTTCCTCAACTGAACAACGACAATTTCCATCAGTTTGCTCAGTATGAAATGCAAATAAGTCCAAAGCAGTAAAGCCATTATAAATCTATGGGGTGTACAAGAATACTTTATATGTTGTAGATTGTTCTGCTTTGTGTTTGGGAGTCTGTTTTAGTAGTAACAACACAAGATTTGAAGGAACCCGAAAAATGTAACGGTATCAATTACATTAGACCACACAACGGGAGACTAGCACGAAGTCTTATCGACACAGGCCAGAATGTATTGATACAGCTCGACTGTTTAACTCGGTGGCTCATCTCCTTGCTGAATTGAAGCGCACGTGCATAAGTTGGTTTCCCTTCTTAGTGTTCAAGGACAACGCGCCGCACGTCGCGTGGACGAAGAAAACATGGAAGGATTGGGAGAGTATTAAGAGCGAATCCACACTGGAACTAGTGTAGAAAAGTTTTGACACGTGATGAACAAAATAAAGAACTAAAGAAAGAGGTAAGCAAAGCAAACGAAGACTAGAATCATAGGGTCTGGTCAATGGCGACAAAAAGCAAGAAAAACGCAAAAAGAAGGGTCTTGCCGTGGATCGAACACGGGACCTCTCGCAGTAAGGCTATAGGGTGTGACCCTAAGCGAGAATTATACCACTAAACCACAAGACCCGAGAGTCGCTTGATTGCTTCTTGGAATGGCGCCAAGTTATTGCACTAGATACGACTTTGCGCCACCCGGGCTCCGTTGTGGAGTAGGGAGGGAAATGTCGAGTGAAGATTTTGCACACTTTGGTGGGCACCGGCGAGCTGGCCGGCTTCGGAAGGTGTTCGGTGGCGATATGGGCTAGATCGGACGAATCGCTCAAATGGCACAAATAAACGGTGGCGGTTTCAAATGTTAGCCGTGGAACGGGAGCAGAAAGACTCTTCGGAATGGGCCCACCGATTTCCTGAGGCTTGGCAATTGCTGAGCGTTGTTAATTGGAGTAAATTGCAATCTGAAAGTTTTCATATATGGGCGGTCTGAGACACGTTTTAAGATGCTTAAAAGCAACCGGGATGTCCATTTATGATCACATCGAGCTCAGTGGTACAGGTTGTAGACAGGGCGTCGGCTTTATGGTGGACAAGGACCAAAGTAGCCATAAGATTAATTCTTATGTTCAGGCGAGATGACTGAGATGGCGGCAATATGTATCAGGCATGGGGTTTCGTGGTACAGTATGAATTGTTCACTCCATTCAGCTCGGTATTAATTGTCGTGTAACATCTGCCGGGCGTAAATATCTTGAAATTAGAGGTCATCAACCTTAAATGCATATCAAAACGCATTTTCATATATTCATTGTGAGGGGATGGAAGTGGTAGATGGGGATATGAGGATGTACACACTTATAATAACACGGTTATACATCTGTCATAAGAAGTAAACACGATCTCGATATTGTCTTTGCAAATTAATTAGTAAACAATCCGTGAGCGTTCTGAAAACCGAAATGGGAACTGCAATTTTTATAAACATGGCTAATTAGATAATTTATATTTTCAAAGTAGAGATTATAAATATTGAATATGGCGGACAACAGCATCATTATTTATAAGCACCAAGTATAATATAACCCAGATCGAATTCATTCGTACTATGAAGTCGTGATAAACGTCGTCGGCGATAGTGTCAAGGGTCAGACAAGGATTGTGCAGCACAACCAAAATCTCCCGTCAATCCGGAGACAGATAGCTCGGTCATAAGGTAGTACTGACTGCAACGCTATCGAAGAATACAGCAGAGCCTGCAGAGAGTGCGGGACCGTTGTACTCCCGACGCCTGGTAGGTAGGTATTCTTGCTGGGCTTAACCCCACACTTGCATCCAAACAAGGAAGGATATGCATACCCACGTCCGTCCTGTCACCACACAGCGGAAGAAGTAACACGGCTTCGTCGGCATATCTAGGGCCCCAATGGTGTCATGAGAATCCCCTGGTGACTGCATATTCAACCGAAGCAAGGATCCATGGAGGGGTAGCAAATAGTATAATTTAACCGCGAGACAAAACGATCTGAGATCGCAGAGTAGGTGCATGTTGATTCTACATAAGGACACCCTGCTCCCACTCGCCTCCTTCTTGCTAATCTCACCTAGAATCCTTCGCCGTCTTTAAAGTTGGAAGAATAATAATAATGATGATGCGAGCTTTTGTCAAATTTCTTCTTTCATTATTACTCCTTGATTCAAGAGTACATGGCAAATCGTTTTGGTCGTTATCTCCCGCCAACTACAGCAACCTCATTCAAGAGGCATACCCGGTAGGGAATGGCAAGCTCGGATGCATGGCCTTTGGGGAGGCTGGCACCGAAAAGATAAATTTGAATGTAGACTCGCTGTGGGCCGGCGGGCCGTTTGAGTCATCAACATACACTGGAGATAATTTCAACTCTAGCCGACTTCCGATTCTCGAGGGCATTAGAGAATGGATATTCCAGAATGGCACTGGTAATATGACAGGAATTTTGGGAGAGAACCTAGATTACGGCTCTTACAGGGTCCTAGGTAACATCTCGGTAAGCCTAGACAGCTCTGAGAGCGCGACCAACTACAAACGATCTCTAGATCTTGCTACGGGAATACACGTGACTACATACAGTCTTGGAGGCCAAAAGATCAACAACACCCTTTTCTGCTCCGAACCAGACAGCACGTGTATTTATCATATTGCTTCCGATAGCGTACTTCCAACCGTGTCCATAGCTCTTGAGAGTCTACTGGACGATGCAAGCCTGAAAAATGCCACATGCGGACCCGACTATGCTCGAATCACAGGATACACGCAGATCGGTCACCCTATAGGCATTAAATACGATGCTATTACCCGAGCTGCGTCAAGCGGCTTCACGTTATCATGTAACGACTCGATCTTGCTTGCTACCCCCAAAGCGAATCAAACTTCTCTAGTAATCATAATCGGGGCCGGCACCGACTACGATCAAACTAAGGGAAATTTTGCCAGTGGCTTCTCTTTCAGAGGAGAAGACCCAGAAGCCTACGTGGAGTCGATCACTTCAACAGCTGCGTCTGAACCTTACGGCAACCTTCTCAGTCGTCATTTGAACGACTTCACTAGCCTTTCAGGTGCCTTTTCGCTAGATTTACCAGATACAAATAACACCGCTGGGATTGAAACGGCCATAGCACTTGCAGCGTACGATTACAGCCAGCCGGGAGATCCATACATAGAGTCACTATTGTTCGATTATGGACGGTATCTCTTGATATCGTCATCCCGTCAGCGCTCACTGCCAGCGAACCTGCAAGGCAGGTGGACTGAAGAGCTGGAGCCAGCATGGTCGGCCGACTACCATGCCAACATTAACCTTGAGATGAACTACTGGCTAGCCGAGCAAACCGGAATCGGTCAGATTCAGCAGGGATTATGGGACTACATTCAGGATACCTGGGTACCTCGGGGCTCGGTCACGGCTGATTTTACGTATGGCGGGGTGGGTTGGGTCGTTCACGACGAGATCAATGTCTTTGGACACACAGGGATGAAGAACGACGCAGGGTGGGCGAACTACCCAATCGCACCGGCGTGGCTGATGCAGCACGTCTGGGACCACTACGACTACTCGCAAGACGTGTCCTGGCTGAAGGAGCAAGGATATCCGCTGATCAAGGGGGTCGCGCAGTTCTGGCTGTCCCAGTTGCAGGAAGACGAATGGTTCCGAGACGGCACGCTGGTGGTAAACCCGTGTAACAGCGCTGAGACGGGTCCCACCACTTTCGGCTGCACTCACTTCCAGCAGTTAATCCACCAACTCTTCGAGTTCACGCTGGTTGGGGCCCGGGCCGCGGGAGAAGAGGATACAAAGTTCGTAGCCGAGGTTGGCGAGAAGCTCGCGGCGCTCGACAAGGGCCTGCACATCGGCACCTGGGGCCAGATCAAGGAGTGGAAGCTCCCCGAGTCCATCGTACCTGACCCCGTCAACTTCACGTACCGGCACATCTCGCAGCTCGTAGGGTGGCACCCGGGATACTCTATCTCATCCTTCGCGGGAGGGTACGGTAACGCTACGATTCAAGAGGCAGTGGCCACGACGCTCTGGAGCCGGGGTAACGGCACCGACCCGGGCTCGGACGACGCCGGCTGGGCCAAGGTGTGGCGGTCCGCGTGCTGGGCGCGCCTCAACGAGACGGACCAGGCGTACTTGGAGCTACGCTACGCCATCGACCGCAACTTCGTCGGCAATGGCTTCAGCATGTACTCGGCGCTGAGCCGGCCGTTCCAGATCGATGCCAACTTCGGGCTCGCGGGTGCCGTGCTCAGCATGCTGGCCGTGGACCTGCCGACCTCCCACGACGCGGACGCATCGACGACCTCGAGAACGGTTGTCCTCGGGCCCGCGATACCGAGCACTTGGGCAGGTGGCAAGGTGCGTGGCCTGCGGCTGCGAGGCGGAGGCGCGGTCGACTTTGCGTGGGATGATGACGGCACTGTGACAACAGCAAAGCTCTCCATCCCGAGAAATCTCCCTCTCACTATCGTCAACAAGCTGGGGCAGGTCATTCTTACTCACGAATAGTTGCTCGGAGGCGCAGTGATGCAGAAGACTGATACACGAGTGGGGAAACGGTGAGCCTGCACCTGGAGAACTCCTGCAGCTGAAGTCGGATCGGTAAACACAGACCTTTATTTATGGAAATCCCAGCCTTATCTGTTGTTGTTGAAACATGTACCCGTAGCGTGCGCATGGATTAAATACCCTGCTGGGCTACGAGAACTCGTCCGATGTGATATCAGCTCGATTCAGCTGAGGTAGAGATGAACACTGGTTCATTTTATGTTTTCTTGGCGGGGTGAATATAGGTCATAGCGTGAACTGAAGCGACGACAAGCATGATGCTTGAAGAAACGCGGTAGTTGCGGGTGATCTACACGAGCTCACCCTGCACATGGCCTACCTGAGATTGTCGCTGCATTAGGTTCCGCTTAGTATGCTCTTGGAAAACATGCTTGCAAGATTAACCCGTTTGTTTTCGCCACATGCACACAGTCCCAATTGTGCCCAGCGCCAGGATGAGGGCTTTTCGCTGGCTGAGCTGGCTTGGCTGGTGAAGAGAGAACTAAAATTCTAATTAGAGCCTAGGCCAGCTGCTCTTGTGCGGGCATTGCGGACGATGTTGGCCTCCGACTCCTGAGCTAGATGTGGGACCCCAATGGGGGTTAACAGCAAAATAAACAATTGTCAGCTGTCGTATTTCCTTTTGCAACGCCGTTCACGCTGGGCTAACAAGCCGTCCAAACAATTGTATGGGTAATCACGGGGGGTTATGCTTAATGGCGACAAAGTATATGTTAGCGCAAATAAGGTTAATAAACACCCACAATGTTTTTCAGCAGAGCAAAGGCAGTTTCAAGCTTAAGCGGTGGGTCAGTCAATGATTGACAGGTGGATGGGATGCACTAGGCCAGAGCTGACACGAGCGACCGGCGAGGAAAGCAAATGAGCCAGGGGTGAGCTAAGCAGACAGACTTGGCTTCACCTATAGGAAGTTTCAGGTGTCTTGCTGCCTCTTTCGGTGGTCTTGGGCGGGCTAGCAGGCCAGAAGCGGTCCACGGCCAAGGACCGGCATCCAGAGACCTTACTACTCTCGGGCCGGACAACTGGCGG